TTTATGCCATTTAAAAAAAAATTAAAAATCTACATGTATGGCCAAAGGCTTGAGCATGTCACTTCTCACACTAATCTGCCATACCTGAGGTTAAGTGCATATGGTAACCTTTATAGCATATGTGTTAATGCACAGAAAATATATATTCCAATTACTATTTGGCCTCAGGGGTATCTGCGTACATGCTTATGAATTTATTTGTTCGATCTTTTTTTTTTTTGTATTGAGCCATGGCAACTTTTGGTTAAGTATAAATGAAGCAATGAAATTATGTCCCGGTTGGACGCTTGCCAGCATAGATTAGTTTTATGGCTTATTATCACTGGTTATACTATGGTTATGATATTACAGCTGTTCCTATAACTGCTTCATCTTTTCATAAATAAGATATTCATTTCCTGAGTTTATAGTAACTGGTAACAAAGATACCAGATTCTAATTTGGCTAGAAGTCAGCTTGCTAAAACAAGTGATGTAATGCGTTGCTGTGGGCTTTATTTGTATTGGTGTGTATAATCACCTTAAGAAAATATGAGCAGTGAGTAGAGAATAAAACACTAAGCAAAAGTCTTTGGTTCAGCTGACATTCTTCAGCCTTAGAAATGAGATCAAAGAGGGTGTTAGGAAAGAGAATAAATGAATCTTCTTTGCCCCTTGAAATGTTCTGTTCATCTTGTATTGGTAGTAAGGAGCAATAGAAATCTTGAATTAATTGGTTCATTAGAAAGATTTAGATGAAGTATTTTGCCAATATGTAAATATCTCTTGGAGAGGGAGAGGGTGTTTCAATTCTTGTTTGAAATGGGACGGTTGGGAGAGCCCTTCTGTAAATCTCCAGGTAATCAACTGCAAGAGAATTAAACCCACAAATTCAATAATGCTAATCATTCCTCTTTACAATTATTTTTCACCTTAGACATTTATTGGAGTAATTCTGGGCTCCAACTTTTCTTCTGTTTAGTCTTACCCTATCGCCTAACACTAAAATCACACAGAAGAGTGCTCCTACAGCAGGAGATCCTCTTCTCCTCATGATAGATCATAAGAGGTCCTTTTACCTACCCCCGTTGGTTTTATAAGGCAGGATTAAACTTTGCAGAGTTATTTTGTCCTTCCAAAGGACAGTTACTGACTTCAGAATGTAGAGACAGGATTCTCTCCCCATTTTTGCTCACAGTTTTAATTTCTTATTCACAGTGGATTTTATTCATGCTTGGTTCATGCCAACACAATTTTCTGTGTTATTTAAGGGAGAAGTTTGAGAGAGAAATAAAATGAACACTTTGCTTCATCAAGTATGAAAAAAAATAAGATAATTTACAAAGAAAACAGAGAAGATCAAGCATTAGTCTTGTAATTCTATCCACTTCAGTGGGAATTGCAAGTATTCAGCTCTGGCTGAGTTTCAGAAAAGGAAGTGGGTCTGCTCACTTAATAACCTTTGAATTGTGCTGTGTAGATTTTTCAGTAGTTGATGCATAGCCTCTTTACAGAATAGACAGGCTAGGGAAAGAGATAATTAATATTTTTGGATGAAGCCTATTTTGTGTCGTTCAAGATGTGTCAGTGTATCTACCTAACAGGAACTTTTTGGAAGTCATTCTTTGTCTGCCATTAATTCTATTGAAATATCAGTTGAAAATTAGAACACAAATGGTTTTGAGAGGAAGACATCACAGAAAATAAAGCAAGTTTGAAATCTATAGCACTTTAGCACTAAGCATACTTCTCACTCGCTTGTGTCTTAGCTTCAGTCCTGCCGTGTTTGGAAGTATAAAACTGTTTCTGTATTTGAAGACCTGTGAACTGCAGATTGAGGTTGAAGGAGGGAAGACTGCTAGCCAGGATAAGTGAGAAGTTGTAATCAGTAATGTAGGAAATAAAAAATGAAACGTTATAAAACATCACCTGGTATTTTACAGTTGTTAGAGAAAAAAGTATTTCTATAGAAATCTTTAATAAAGTGAAAATGTGTGTCAGAAAAAGGTTGTACCTTTTAGCAATGTCTCTCTGCATCCAGAGCAGACACTTACAAGTTTCACTTATAAGCCTCATGATTTCCAAAGAGTGTAAAAAATATAATAAAAAAAAATTAATTCCCTGAATACTAAAATCAGTGGGGCTGGGAAATATTTTGTCCAATATTCAGATGTGTATAAATATTACAGTGTAGGCAGTTACTAATACAATGTACTCTAGGAAATGGTCTTTCAAACCTAATGAATGACTGAAGTTCTCCCTATTTGGTTACTTCCTACCAAATCACTCAAAATCTGGAAACTGACAGCCAACCACCATTTGAGAAATATTATTCTCCCCAAGTAGCAGCATTGGCTTCCATGAGAGTTTTGGTAGAAGGGAAAGATATGGCAGAGCAAGGAAAATTCTGATTCTAAGCAATAGTCACTGGTTGTTAAGACACTCCTTGGAAATTTATCTACACATACAAAACTGATAGAAAATGCAGCCTTGAGGTTTAGCATTTTCAGTGTTGTCTTAGATTCACAGACAGCAGGAGACGTGTTCATTTTTATTTTTCATTCAGAAAGTATTTGTTTATGAAATGGCAAAATAATGTGAATACAGAGTTGCCAGGAGGAAAAAAGATATGGGAAATGTGTCTCTTCTGTCTTGGCTCTATTCAGGGACATCTGTGACTTCACAGACAGATCAGCCTTCAAAAAAAATCTCCTGCAATAGCTTTGCAGCACCCTCTTACCATGTTTCTTGATAACCGCATATGTGTGAAAATCATAGCCTGCTTTTTTTTTTTGGTTATAAAGATGAAAACTCATTTAGAAAAATATGAAAATATCACTGTAAATTTCAGTACTTAAATACTACCCAATAACTCTGCTTCTATGCACATATATTTCCATAGATGCATAATCTGAAGCCTGTGACTAATCATATTGAACTCAATGCTATGTTTATGGGATTAAGGACTCTTTACATCTGGGAACTTGAATTATTCTAGGAATACGTTTGTAATTTTTCCTTCTTAAGCTGTATGCAAAATCTTTACATGCTCCTGAGTCATTATGAGTAGAAAAAAAAATGAAGTTATAGAGGTAATCCACAATTTATGAGCCTTTGGAACACTTGAGGGAGTTCCCTCTCTATTTACTGCAGAAACAGCTGTCATTCAGCTGTGAGATTTGGAGCTGTGGAAGTTGAGGAGGAAAGAAAAAGTATTAATTCCCAGTATATTTTAGAAAGATGCTTTAGATCAAAATTCCTAGCTGAATTTCCTGATTCCAGATGTCCTGAGAGAGTTATTTTCAAATTAATTGTAATATGCAAACATACTGCTTGTACATGATAGTGATTTATGGTAATTGGAATACTGATGGGGAAAAAAAATTCTTGTAGACTATTTAATGAGCACCTGTGAAATTATGGAATGCCTTCACGAGCATCCCAAGTATTTGCCCGAGAGATTTTCGTTCCACAGCTGTGAGATTTGGGCATCATTATTTAGATATAAATTGAGAGTCTCTTTCAAAAGGCAAGCAGGTACTCGGTATAAGTTCATGGGACAAATGATGTAAATAATTGCTCAACAGTGTAAATAAGGAACTTGCAATCTGGATGTATTTTATAATTTATTAGTACTTATTATAATTTATTGGTCTTGTTTCAAATGGTGAAGTTAAAAGTGAAATGAGTTTCTTTTTAGACTAAGGAAGAAATACAGCACCATATGTTGTGCCAATGGAGCTCTATCTGATATGGTGCTAATACATTCCTTTCAAGGCCTCCAGACATTTTACAACATTTTTAGCACTAATTTCTGCAGTAATGACTAACTTCTGCAGGAATTACATTCCTTGAGAGGATATGAAATGATCAAGAAAGGAAAGAGCTGACATTATCCAAGAAGCTATTGAGTTAGCAGGATTTTAATGCCAGAACGATTAATACGCAATGAGAAATAAATCAACTGGAACAATATGTAATAAGCAGAAAACATTCTTGTGGTCTTTTTATAATATTGAAAATGTAAACACTACATGTCAGCAGATAGCATGTGCTAGTTTCTATCAAAACATGGATTTTCACCTGTATGTGTTTTGGAAACATTGATAGCTGATTCTAGCTTCAGTGGGAGAAATTATGAGCCTAGAGTATAAAAGGAAAGTCTAAAACAAAGCTCACTGAAATGCCTAAAGTAAAGCCTCCTGTAATCAATCAGTTTCTTGACTTTGGCAGTCTTTTAATCAATGTTTTAATGTGAGGAACCACTGTATATAAAGATGAATGGGTAAGCTGACACTAGAATAAGGGGAGATTTGGTTTGGTTTTTTTCTTTTTAGCAATTGAGTTTTTGGGTTTTTTTAAAGACTGTGAAAGTGTTTGTGTAATTTCTTTTGTGTAGTTTTTTCTTATACTTCAATTATCCTGTGCCTGTTTTACAAATGGGTAAACTAAGACAAGAAGCAATTGAACTCACAATCAAATAGAAAACTACGTATTAATTTTTTTGCCCCTGCAAACATTTATTTCTATGTTCTGTATTTTTAATAGTATTGATTAGCTGGACATATTTGTGTTTTCTTCCACTTGGTGGCCGTTCTCCAGAGCAAGAATCTCAGAATCTCTAAGACCAAGGTCTAACACACTCAATTCGAAAGGAATCTTTTCCGTGTATTGAGCTGAAGCTCAGTCTAGAGAGATGCTGATTATGCTTCAGTTCTGCTGATTCCCAAAGGTGGTGTTTATAATTTGTGGGCTTGGGCCTTAAAATGGATGCAGTTTATGTTGCTTGGAAATCTGACTGTGGCTTTACAATGGTGAAGGTAACAAATATTTTCAGGGAACGCTCCCCCCTGCCCTTGTAGATAGCTCCATGGTTTCTTGAACAAAATTAGTGTAAAGATGAATGTTGGAGTGAAAATTAAGGAAAAACATTTTGATTAAGCTTATTTAATGTACTGGCATGCCTATAACATTAATAGTATCTTCTTATTTTTTCTTTTTCTATTTGTTCCGACAATGAAGGAATCATCTACATGCTGCCGGTCATATTTGTGTTCTTAAAGATGCTTTAATGTATGAAAGTCCAGCTGAAATTGCAAATCTAACCTCCACAGACAAATTTGATGCAGCCCTGGCCATTCATCTTTATAAAGCAGGCAGACTTCTGCAAGGTAATCCCTTTTCTATTTTGCAATAAAAATACCTCTTAAAAAGGTACTGAAAGAGAAGAGAATGAATACAAACAGTAATAAATGGCTATAAATGTATAAACCCACATGTAATATAGTTATTCTGTTTATCAACTTCAACAGATGTTCAGAAATGCTGAAAATCTTTCTCAGTGGGAGATCTGATCCAGAGAGGAGAGAACTAAATAAACGTACTTTTAAAGCACATAGTCCATTTCATAATTAAGTACTTTAACTACATTAAGATAAGAGCATTATATTAACGTTAAGATACTTTCAGCAAATGTGTTCTTTCAGAGGACAATGGCTTGGCTAAGTATAGCTGAGGTCAAAAAGAAGAAAGCAGAGAGGCTAATTTGATTTTTCTGCTCAAAAATGAGTCAGGGTTTTTTGGACATGAAATAGCTTTGAGGTGTCATTCATGTCAGCTAAACTGTAGCAGACAGGATGTTATCAGACAAATAATAAAATTTTCTATTGTATCTAGCCATGTAGAACAAAATTTTAGCCTGCCATTAATGATACACCAGAAGCACTGGCTTTCAAAATTACGGACACTATCACCTACTGAAATTGCAAGTGTGTATCCGTGTTTGAGATCACATTCATATTATACAAATCTACTCACTTGGACAAAGGTACATAATTTGATACTTTCATCAGATCTCAGTATAAGTTGCGTTGTGCTAGTTTTCAGACTTCAGAAGTCCCCCCACAATTTGCTCAGAAAGCCTGAATTATTGTCTGCTGTGCTTGTCTATCTACAATGGAGCTCTGATTTCAATAGGGATCCTAGAGTAGAAAAGTAATTCTGTAAGATGATCTCTGCTAACGTGTATTAAGACTTCTCTTGTCGGAATGTAGAGATGATTGTTTTTGCGACAAGACCTAGACTCTCTTTTTTTTTTTTTTTTTAAAAAAAAAAAAAGTAATGTTGGATTTTAAATTTTTACTGTAAAACTTTATTGGTGTTTTGACTTGCATAGCCTTGCCTGAATGCTGTTGCTATTAGATTTTCAAAATTCCACAAATCTACAAAGCCTGATACTTCAATGATTTACATAAGTTCAATAATTTAAGTCAGTCAGTCACACTGTTCCAAAAAGCATCCGCAATAACTGAAAGACAAATAAACCAGAAATTTGTGAAAAGCATGACAGTAAGTAGTATGATTGCTGGGATGATCCTAGTCAAAATGTAAAAGTTATTGTAGACTTCTTGAAGGAAAAAAAGTGATTCGAAGGACATTCCTGATTCTTGTAACATTTAATATTTCCAAACCCTATATTAAGAAATACCTTAAAAAATTTAGTCATTACAGTCATACTACCATTATTACCCTATAACCATCTTTTGGGCTTCATCTTGGAAACTTTTTTTGGGGATATATGATCAACACATGTAATAGATGACATATTATTTACTTTTTTTTATTTGTTAGAAGGGCAATACATATTTTATATTGTATTACAGAAAGCCAGTCTCTTGAAGATTAGTGCTTTGATAGTGCACATTAATTCTCTTCACAAACATTAGAATACACTATCTAAAAATGCTGAAGAAAGTCTTTAAGTAACTTAGCCAGAATGGCAATTAATCTTAAATTCTTTCTGTTTGTTCTTTCATGTATTAGTGAGCAAATTAGCAATGCTAATAAATCCTTATCTTACAGCTCACTTAATTTTCAAATATAAATGGGAAATGTACACTATGTTTTCTATCTTTATCAACATATTTATTTCGTTCCCCATTTTTTTTAACATTGTCTAATTTGCTTGGTTTTAACCATGAATTTTGATTAACCAATAATTTGCCCCACCCCTAAGACTCTGGATCGCTACAGAAAGGATCACCAATAGTTTCCACAGCCATGAACGTTCAAGGTCAGTTATATTATCTCCCAAAAGGAAGAACCTCCATCAACACAGTAACCTCCTGTGTCCTGCTCTGTGGTCCAGTGCTGAGGACAGTGTTGTCTACTGAGTCCTTGATCCCTCTCCCCTTCCATCTGACAGCAAAAGGGAAAAAAACAATGCATGTTTTCTTGATACACAGTGTGTAGTGGCAATGCAGCCTAACTGCTTATTTGTCTTCACAGTCAGAGGAAACCTTGGTTTCATCTGTTGCAGCTAACAGAAATCTGCAAAATCCACAAAATTGGTTACCTTAATGGCAGGATTTTTAGACTGCTTTACTGGAAATTGTTTCTTTTGAAAAACTGCAGTCCCATTTGGAATTTAAAACTATGTTCTGCTTGTAGTAATTAGCCACCTTGAGTCTGTTATTTGTTAGCTTAATGTGGTGTAAAACTGACCACTTAATCGCTTTCAGTGCTGAAACAATCAACAGTAAACATTATTGTCTGCTATCTTGATTAGTTTAAGGGGAGAACATTGCTGGTGACTTGTCAGTTACTAAAAATAACCTGACTCCAAGCAAAGAAATGCTATTAGAAAGGAATCTTACACTACTATTGGCTTTTGTATTTTCATCAACGTAGCCTTTGGCCTTGTCCATTTAAGTCCAGCTGCTGTTAGTGTGGAAGTGCTATTCGACCCTGTTTTGGTGGCTTTACCCCTATGCAAAGATGAATTTATTGTAGTACTGTGTGTCAAAACTAGGCGTTTACCAGACTGCAGGCACCACAGCATAGGATACATATGCTTTTGTTGATAGTCTACAATTTGAATGTTGATGAGGTCTTGTGCACAGACTGTCCCACAGCCAACATGCCTTCCTCTGCTCTTGCTGTTCTGAGCACTGCAAGGCATCCTAAAACAACTTTCATAACTTGGGTGATCACAGAAGATCTTGGAACAACCTATTATAAACACAGATCCATCTCTTGGAATGGAATTAGGTGAAACAACGGTTCTATTGTAGGTTCACCTATACAGCCTTATTTAATTCAGTGACCTTGTCCGATGGTGTGAGTCTATCTACATTTTTTGTAGCAGTAAATTTGGCTTTGGAAGTCAATTTTTAAAAAAAAAATAAAACCAAACAAAAAAAAAACCCAAAATAATTTCCGTAACCAGCTTTGCAGGATGGTCACCCAAATCACTCTATTGGAATGCCTGAGGGGGTAGCAAATGAGTGGCTGAGACCAGATACCTGGGACCAAACTTTGCAGTAATGCATCTTATTAAAATGTGAATAACATTTAAAATATATATGCCGTTTGGTGGGCTGCCAAGTGTAGAAACTAATTGATTGGTTTTATAAAGCATGGAAAAGGCAAAGAAAATCTCATAGCTACACAACAGACTGACATGCTGTGAAATTGCATAGTTACTTTATGGGATTTTCAGTGCCAAACCCATAAAAATTCAAGTTTCTCCAGGCTCCTTTTTCAAAGGCTTTTGCTTACATATATGATACAGTATTATCAATATACTTTTTCACTCTTAATGTCCCCTTCTAGTCATTACCTTGACACGTTGCCCAACTTCTCATCATAGTCATTGCTTTGCAGATAGCAGAATTCCTTTTGGAATCATCTTTGGTGGGACAGATGTAAATGAAGATATCAAATGTAAAGAGAAACGTCGGGTAATGGGAGCAGTGCTAGAAGAAGCCAGGTAAAAGCATGTCTGGAAGGTTTATGACAGGAAATTGCATTTTTGTAATGGCAGATCTTTTAGGAAATGTTCCATAAATGATTGGAATCACTGGGAGATGTGTAGGCCATCAGACAAATGATAGACTACTTGAAATCCCTATGATCTCTACATATTATTTTATGATTCAGTAATGGAAGTAAAAGATTTTCTTCATAAAATATGGTCTGTATGCAGTCTATTCATTTTATATGTTACAATCCTTTCATTGTATTTGTCCATGTAGGAGTTGGCAGAAGGACTGCTGAAACTTGGTCTCTTGGGCTGTGAATTTTCAAACTCAAATCCCACTAAGAGCTAGTGAAGTCTATTCTCTTGCTAACTAATCCTGTTCTTTGTCTACTGAATCATAACTGTTTTCTAGAATAATAGAACTATGCATGTGATGAGGATATAAAATTCTAAGGCAGGTAAAAGAAATGGGAATAATAGCCAGAACACTTAACCTGGGATTTGGCAGCATACGGCTCTATAGAATGATCTACTTTATGGGTAGAGCCTTTGATGGCTAGTATAACTGTAGGCTGTAGCAACTTGACTGTGGTTTATTTGGCGTGTTTGGAATGGACACAATTTTATGCAATCAAATTTTAATTTCTTATTAAAATTATTTTAGACTGTTTGTGTTTGCAGAGAATCGGGTAAAGAAATGTACATCTAAGTATCTTCAACAATATCCATACAAACCTCATTTGTACAGAACTATCCTGACCATGAAATGACTGATATTTGGTATTGAAATAGTGAATCTTTAGTAGTGGAGGTGGTTAATGGTGATTTAGTGGCGGAGGTATGGTTATGTCAATAGCAAATCTTTGTTAGCGGTGGAGGTTTGAGTATTCTTATTCAATCTTAGCTGTAGTAATATTATTAACCAAAACAAGGTTGGATCCTGTTTGCAAAGGCCCTGTGCCAGAAGTACTAAATGTTGCTCCGAGTTGTATTCTTTCAAAACCTCTGTTTCTTAATAGATTCTGGTTTATGTTATTTGTATTCAAACTTAAAAAATATTTTGTATTGGAACTAACATATTTTATGCATTAAGTGCTATCTGCACATACAGACCAAGGTGCTCAGCAGTTTGACTTAAGAGAAACAACAACCAGAAATAATTGGCATTGTGTTGCATCACAGAATCAAACCTGTTCTCAGAGGCCTTGCATTTAGGTTGTTGATACAGTGGTTGATTGAAAAGCAGCTGACTCCAGAATAAAGAGCTTTTGTTCTTTTTTCCTGCTAATGTGATCCTTTCTCTAGATACATGAACAAAGAACCAGAGACTGAAAAAAAGTCTTTAAGCAAATTCTCTCATTTCTTTAGGTGAATTGACAAGAGAGTAGATTCAGGGTGTTTTAAAGTCCAGAAAGGTTCCAGTGACATGTCAGTGTAGTCATCAAATGTAATTCTAGAGCTGATCAGAAATCAGAGAAAATAACTAAAAAACCAAAAGCTTTTTGCAGCATTTCTCGTTGTTTCAAGGTCCCAGAAGAGAAGCTTACTTCTGCCTGATCCAGAGGCCTATTCAGCAGTGTTTGCTCACGTCCATGGTGGGCCAATAAACCCTTTTCTTATTGGAAATTAAACCATTTTATGGATGTAAATCCTCCAATGGATGAAATTAATTTAATAGATAGCCTAAGTCTTATCAAGATAGAGGCTAAGGCTGTCACTTTGTGTGCAGTCAGTGTAATAGCTCAATGATAGCAGGGATGGTTCTACTGCTACCTCCCTTCGTCTTCTCCTTTCTCTTGCTTTTGTCTGTGTGACCCATCCTTCCTTGTACCAGGGTTGGACTGCTTTCTGAGCAAGTTTAACTCACTAGATGGTGTAAAATTGTCCTTTTTTTCCCACCCCTGGGTTAGTTTTCTACCACTTTAATAAGAAAAGTCAGCTTGTGGAAGGATTTTTTTTTTTTTTTTTTTTAATGACAGTAAGCTGCTACAGCAGGTCACTCAGCCTCATTGAACTATACTGTGACTGGTGACTTGAGTACCCTGAAGAGTCATCACTCCAGAATTGAGCTCTGCGTAAGCAAAAGGGGTCCCTGACTGTACTAGGTGTGATAAAATTTAAGCATCTGGAACATCTTAACCAAATCCAGTGGTACTGCTTGCATACTTAAGCAGAGCTGAAATACTTGCTGAACAGAGCTTGCTCAGGGTATCCTCATCCCGGCATTCCGGCTGAGATGGATAACTACACTGGGTCAGATATGGCAGTATGGATTTTGACTCATGTCAGCAATGAGGAAATAACACGCAGAAGCTGCAGCAGGCTTATATTTCATAGTTTTATCTTTGCTAACACCACTGTACGTTCTAGCTATTATTAGCTAACTTAATGCTGGCATAGATAGGCTGTTCTGTCAATAGTACCCTATAAAATGTGGTAGGTAAAGAGATTTTAAAGACAGTACTTAATCAAAATGATTGAAAAATCATTAGGGCATGTTCTTATGTCTTAGTGTGACTTGTAGTTGAAAAGCAACTTAACAGCCCCCTTCAAGAGAAAATTTATATACTTGTTTACTTTTGTTATCAAATAATCACAAGTTATTCTTTAAACAGGTTGAAGGAAGAGAAAAAATATAATGTGCCGGTTAAATTTCTGCACTGTGCAAAATGAAAATTATATAAAAACAGAATCTCTGAGTGTGTCCATTTGATCCAGTTCTGTATTTAAAATACGATTTGTCACAAATATACCTGATATAGCGTATGCAAAATCTGTGCTTTACTGAATGTTTTTTTGAATAATAATTAAGTTAGGATCTTGAAGTGTAGTTTAATAGCTTGGATTTCCTATGATCTTTCAAAATGCATTACTGCACCCTTATGCAGTTCATAATATTTTCTCTGCTACAGGATCTCTTCAATATTATCGCTAGTATTATTCATTGCATAGTTATTAAAAGAAACATTGATTTTTTTTTTCTTTATTGATTGCAGGGTTCTAAGCAGAAACTACCATGAATTGTAGATTACTTGTCTAGTACAATATACCACCACATTCCATAAAGCACAGTATTGAACACTGTCTAGCTTTCTAATGAGTGTTTCATTTTTAATCGCATTCCTCTAAATGGTGGTTGTACTCCTCTAGGGTGTTTTTTTCTGTTGAACAGTATTTTGTAGACTTAGGAGCAACAGTTTTTTCTGCTTGTTAATGTGATGTATTGAAAGTATAATTGCAAAAACCGGGAAGGGTAGCATGTGCAACTTGACAAAACAAGCATTTGCAAAGGCTTTAATAACCTTAAAGCTGTCAAGTTGTATATGTGAAATTCATTGTAGTACCATAAAGCAGATACTACAAAACAAGTGTATGGGAATAAGGTTTGTTTCAGCAAAAGAAAGCAGGAGTTGTAATTCAGCATTTATGTAACTTTTAATGAATGATTATGATTTCATGTCCTCAAATTATAGCATAATGTCTAAATGAAAAGCACTATTCTGGCTGTGACTTAGCAATGTGTTTCACTTCTAACCATTGAGAAGTCATAGGGTTGGCTCAGGACAGAAACATTACATTAATTCTATGAAAAAGAAACACTGAATCATAAGTGTACTATGTGATAACCTCTGTTTTATATTCAATATCTATAAAAGCAATTGAAAAAAGAGGACTTTGTGAGCAGACACATTATGTTTCACATGAAGAAGGCATTCAAGCATTTCTATTCCACAGGACTGATAGCCTTCAGAAATAGTGCCATTTGTTGTTCTAGTTAACACTAAAGTTCCATTTGAAAACAGTCAAAGCATGTGTTTATATTTCATCACAACTTAAAAACTACATTAAAGCCCAGTATGTTCTTAAGATCTCTTCTGAACAGGGATTCTTTATTAACTCTAACTCCATAAAAATATCTCATATGACTTCTTGGTATTACACCAAACTCCCAGTAAGAATAACTTGTTTATATGCTACATCTGGAAATCAGACTTCTGTGGCTGAAGTCTCTCAGTAATGAGATGCCCAAAAATGAAAGCTGTTCATGTCAGTGCTGCTTTAAATGGTCTCTGACATAACTCTTCTGTTATGTGGAATGATCGTGTACTACATCCATTTCTCAAAGGCACGTAAGCAGAAGTCCAGATGAGCTGTTATAAATAGCCGTAAGAGAAAAGGTGGAAGTAAGTTTGGGAATAGAATTGTCTTCTCCCTCCCAGACGAAAAATAGCCATTGTTATTCAAGTACACTTTTGTTTGCTTGTTCTTACTTTGGCTTTATGATTTATATATGTTACAGAGGAGGAGTAGATGGTGTTTATATACTATTCTACAGTTCATTCTCCTAAGAAAAAGTCTTAACTAGAAAACAGTCAAAGTGCCTTTCAGTATTATGTCTGCCGGTGTAGCAGTTACTTTGCCTGAAACAGTGACTGTGGTAAATCTAATTTCTGGACAGCTAACTCCTCCCTGTTTATTAAAAAAGAATATCAGGTATCTAACTCAGGACTGCAAATTTCATCTCCACTGCAGATGCCGAGCATTCAGAGATACAGAGCTGAGTGTCCTAAGTCTGTGAGATTCCAGAGTTAAAGCCTAGTCACTGGATCATCTTTCTTCCTTTTTAGTTTATTTAATTTTTATATTTTTCCTGGCGAGTAACATTTTGGTCTCTCAGATGTTTATTTCTTATTGACAGCTTTGACTACTTAGAAATAAGGAGAGAACATTGGGGAAAGGTTTAAAAAAAATCCATCTGCTTATTTGACTTAAACTCGGTTGCAATGAGTTGCCAATAGTGGGACTGGGTATTGTCAAATAACGATAGTATGAAATTAACTGGACTTGAGATCTGTTCTTACCTACCATTCTGGCTGTGAAGAGGGCTATTACAACTTACAGTGATGTAGAAGCAGGAAATGCTAATTCACTACTGCAGCTGTATATATTAATCTAGATAAATGGGCGGATGTTGCCATTATTGCATTTTATCTTACTTTAAAAAAAATCCTTACTTTAACTCCCCAAGAGCTCTAAGTTGTAAAGCCTGAAGAGATACCATTTTTTTACCAGTATTTTCTGCTAAAACAAATAGAAAGCCTGCTTTCTGTCTTTACATCTATAATCATTTTTATAAGCCTCTGCTCTTTGTTCTTATAAAGATTTTTTTTTTTTCTGAAGTACTTTTCTGGTTTTATATTTAAACACTTTAAGCAGATGATCCCAACTATTTTTGTCCATTTAACTAGGTTTGCAGTGGCTTTCACGATGAAAATGAAGGAGCTGGCAGCAGCAGAGTGGGTATGTTTACATGATGATGGTGATGCTTATAGTATTATCAAGTATGTATTCTCCTAAAATGTATTCTAAATAATGCTAGAGAATTTTAATAATCTTCATATTCTCTATTCCTCTTTTTACTTTCAGAGAAAGCTTTTAATATTTATGTATTTCGACAGGTCAAATAGATCTGGCATTTAAAAGCTGTTTAGTATTTGAAAAGAGTATACAGCAGTTTAGGAAGTGCTTCTGTAACATTTAAAACTAATCATTGCTGTTGTTATCGAGTCTCTCCTGATGCCATATGCATATATTGTTTCTTTTTGCATCATTTAATAAACTTTATGTTACCAAAATTCCACTAAACACCTTTACTTACAATAAAGAATTTGGAAGAATAATTTGAAAATACTTGTTTTGTCAACAGCGGAAATAGAATTAACTTCTTAAGGTGAACGGTGGAGCTAAAAATTGAAGTTATGCTAAGCCCAGCAATATGTGATATACAGACCTGTGACTAGGCCTTGAGGGATATGTAGCACATAAATAGTACTTAACTTTCTTAAAACTCATCTCACCTCCTGAAAATAAAACAAACCACAATGTGCTGAACGATATATGGAAAAATACTGAATAAAATTATTTTAATCCAACAGTATAGTGGTTAAATGTATTTGGCAAAGTATTTTAAGGAGATATTTTGCCAGCAGAGAACTGGCAGTTCTCTTTCTCTTTATTTAGTGGGTACCATTGCATTTGCTGTATTGCAAGTCTACTTCAGGCATTCAGTGCAATTATTTTTAGTATCTGATGCTTCTGTTTGAAAATAGACTGAGTCAACCCTTAGGTGGTTGAGTTGATGGCAGACTGCCAGTGGAGAAAACTGAGACAAATCCTTGAAGTAGACAGTCCTCAGTCCCAGTTTCCAAAGAGCAATGTAAGACAATAAAGAGCTGCCAGTTGTTTGAGTCCAGAGAGCGCTTTTGGATAGTGTCAGGCTGCACTGGTAACCTGTGGAAAGCTCCACACCAGGAAGCAGGGCTTGTTGCTGATCCAGCTTGATGGCCCAGCTGATTTTCCATGCAAGGTTAGATTTCAGGCTAACTTGTTGGTGGACTTATGCTGGATTGCAGAGAGCTGCATTGAGCACCAGATCCAGCAAAGGGTAAGCAGTAACTATTTGGTGGACAGTAAGGGGCGACACACTGGGATAAAAAGACCGAGGCAGGATCCCCCCTCTTCCAGCTGCTCCACTCACCTCAGCTTGTGAAACATCAGCTAAAGTTGAACAATAAATGCAAGAAGCAGAAACTAGCTTCTTGGTATTTCTTCAATTCTAATTTGCATTATAATACAATCATTAATACACCCTTGACTAAAAAAATCACTTTAGAGGTGGAGCTTGCACAACAGATCAATGTAATATTCAATACTTTGTTTCAACATGGATTGATTTTTTTTTTTTTTTTAATCTATTTGCATTAATAGGATACATAAGCAGACATAGGAGCTGGTATTTACATTAGAAATATAACTTGGTTTTAATAGTTACTACAGTGAACTTCATGATGGGTAAACCTGAAAGGGGGCAGGTTCTGTCACAGATCTTATGAAAGAAAAGGACAAAAGTAACAGAGTATAAGGAGGAGAAACAAACTTTGAAATCTCTTTGAAGTCAGCACCTCTAATGTTTTTAAGTACTTAACTTTGATTTTACCTCAACACCTTTGTGCTCCAGGCCTATGAGACACACTCAGTGTTTTGGTGAAGGCAGAAAATTGGAGGCAAGTCTGTGAAGTCCTAAGGTGAAATCCCACCTGCTAACCTGTGTCTTAAATGCTGGGGTTTTTTCCAGCTGTAACTTCATATAAAGGGTGAGAGGAAATGCAGCACATTTACTTTCAGTGAAGAACATGAATATATCTTTACATAGCTAGGTCATAGAATATTAACACTCTTTACATATTAACTCACATTAATGTGAACTGCATTATTCTTCTAACGTGCTTTATTACTGAGACAGTCAATTAAGAATTTAAATAATGAACATGTAAGTAATTGCACTGTGCTCTAGGGCTGTATCTTCCAACAAATTCTTTTCTATTGCATTGGATAATTTATCTTTAATTATGAAGTACACAATACAGCATTCGTAATAATCTGTATTCCAAGTGAGTTTGAAATACTGTAAAGATCTTGTGCTTACGGTCAGTGTTTTATTTCAGTAGTGTAAAATTGGTGCATAAGAATTACCTAAACCAGTTTTATGAGCATTGAATTTCATTTTTCCATTCTCCTCAAGACCATTTAAAATAAAGAACATAACAGAAAATTGATCTATAAAGTGTGAATACATCTGTACGCCTCGTTACACAGTGTTCCTGCTATTTTCTTCTTGATGATCCAAGCCCTGGCAGGATTATATTTACTCACCGTAAGCCATTAAAGGTCCAGCAGAGCATGAAACCAGATGCTTAACTTAAGCTTATTTTTGAAACTTAGTGGTTTTAGGGAACTAAAAGCCTATCTTCACCCACCAGTGTTTGAGGCAGAACTCTACAGCACGGCAGGTATGGAGGCAAGGCTGGCTTAAGCTGCCCTCTGCTCCACCTGCTCTTTGCCCCCTTCTGTTTTGTTGCATCTATGTCCTAGTGCTGAATTTCAGCAATCCCACTTGTCCTGCCAATTTAAATTCTGAAGTTGGCCTCCAGCTTGCAATGCTGTCTCATTGTTTGCCAGGCTTTTTTAGGATTGAAAGATCCAATATAATTCAAAATGCTACTTATTCATAGGTAAGAAAAAGACCAAGAAATGTAATAACCTATTAAACAGTTTTTATCTTATTTTTAAATGCTTTGAACACTAAAGTTCATAGGGCTTTTGAAAGATAAAGTCCCTAGAATATCCTTAGTCTTCTACTCTAGCATAATCAGAGTTATTCTCCCTGCTTCCCCTTCATTTATGTGTGGATTTGCTGTTTGCTCATGTAGTTTTTGTGACTTTGTTAGTACACTCTGATGAGAAACCACCTCCTTCCCATCTGTGAAACTCTTCTTGATGACTGTTCACTTTTTTATGACCTCTTTTCTGTCCATTTCTTTTTCCATTTCATTTTCAACAACTAAAATAGACAGTTAGAACTGAGCAGTGGACTGGAGGGACAGTCACATAGGAGTGATAGGGGAACTTTCTCCATCTGCACTTTAGAAAGAGCGATGTCAGGCGAATAGTGACTCGGAGAGTCGCAGCCTGCAAGGACTGTGCCTCGCTACGGAATGAAATTGGCACCGAAAAGGAGGCAAAATGTAGTCTCAAGATAGCAAAGACTGGTGCTCTAAAGAAGGTTGGTCATTTCTGGAGGCTATGATGCTAAATTAAGCAATCGCATTAGTGGAACTGCTTGAAAGGTTATAATTTCAAACTGAAACATTCAAGGTTATATTGAGCAAACCTATTGGAGATTACACCAGCTGAGTAATACCTCCCTTAGCTTACTCCTTTACAGGCATTGCAGCCAGTGCTTTAGGAACAACTACAGCTGAACTCAAAGCTTTGCACAAAACCTTTGAGCTCAAAAAGTTCTGCTTTTTTTACTGGGGAGTGTTGTTGGTTTGTTAGTTTTGGGGGTTTTTTTCAATGTGGAAAGATCTTAAGACTATTTTGATGTTTTTGTGAAAAAAAAAATGTACTCTACAATTCGTGATTGGAGTAAGAAAGATACTGAAATAAGAAATTGCTTGCTTAATTACCTAACTTAAATAACTAGCTTAGCAGTACTTCAGGAGTAACTTTGGAAATGTGATCATTACCTCTTTTACTGTGTAATTTTACTAAATAATTTCTTATGCAATTTTTATTTGGAAATATTCTGAAATAGGTGCTACTGTCCATTTTTCCTATATAGACAAGTCTACATATATTTGACAGCAATTTTAGAAAAGGTTAGAGGTAAATGTAGTTTGTTTCATGCCTGATGTGTTTAAAAATTCTATTATGGATAAATGTAGATTGTAGTTTCAAAACCAGATATAATTTTTCTTTCAAAACTAACATTTTTTTTTGAATTAAGGCTGTTCTGTAGTTGAAAATCTTTCTATTCTAGGGAAATATTTCAATTTCCCATGCAATAAGCGGGTTAATGATTATAAGAAAGGATACAGAAATAAACTAAAAAATATGTTTGTACTAACTTGGTAATTGTGTTAATTGCAAAATTGATTCATTGATACTGTAAATGCTCCTAGTAAATGTAATTTACATTGGTGACTGTTGGCTTTTGGTGTTACTTACATCTATCTTTCTAATAGTTTGTTTTCATTTTTAATAGTCGACAGAAAATCCTGCTGTTGTGCATTTTATTATACTAGTTGGGTTTTTGCAGATTGAAGAGACTTTTTATGGTGAACTAGGAAAGTTACTTTTCTTCTTCTTCTCTTTAAAGCCAGATGCTAGGAAGAAAATATATGTTCAAACACAAGGTGAGAGTTTTAAAATGTCGACTAAGGCATTCAATTTATTTGAATCACATGTTCAGTACCTGTATGTTTATGTATCTGTCTTCTTTACCCTGGGAATGGGTATGGGGTTTGAAGTCCTGGCTCCACTGAAGTTGAGCTTTTTGCCATTGACATTAATTGAGGTGGTATTTCGGCCTCTTAGCCTAGACTTTCAACACATTTGGTGCTTTTAAAAAAAAAATTTCCTGGATGTCTTACAATAGGAATCGGAAAGATATGGTAACATCTAAGGTAACACCGAGCTTTCTCCAAAGCATATGGAAGTTTTGATGCTGAATGATTATTCTCTGAAACTCCAAATTCCTTTAAATGCTTTGAGGGGATCCAGGGACCAATGAAACATGTTTTATTTCTTTTTTTTTTTTTTTTTTTCAACACAGGAATTAAGACTACCCCCAGTGAGACATTTGACTGGTATAGATTTCTACAAAATGCAGGTAAAACTTGCTTTTTTTTCTGTATTCACTATATTTATTCTTAGTAGATGTCAATGGCAAAAGAAATTTAGAATGTGAATGTTAACTCATTATGTAATAAAATGAATTAATAATATGAAAACCAAAAAGCTCTAGTATTAGATTCAGGCAGAATATTGATCAGATTAGTCTGTTTTTTTTTTTTTTTTTTTTTTTTTTTCAACACAGGAATTAAGACTACCCCCAGTGAGACATTTGACTGGTATAGATTTCTACAAAATGCAGGTAAAACTTGCTTTTTTTTCTGTATTCACTATATTTATTCTTAGTAGATGTCAATGGCAAAAGAAATTTAGAATGTGAATGTTAACTCATTATGTAATAAAATGAATTAATAATATGAAAACCAAAAAGCTCTAGTATTAGATTCAGGCAGAATATTGATCAGATTAGTCTGGTTACTAAACTACCGAGAGTGCCTCTGGATTTCTGGTCTGTTCAGGGCTGAATTGCACCAAAAGATAAGATGGTCATGACATATGGGTCAGTGTCCTTGAGAAGGTAGGTTAGACCAAAGCACCACCAGCTGCACGTGCTGTACTTTACAGCCGTGTGATAGTAACTGTGGATGTCTTTTGCAGAAGAGCAGGTGAGGTGAAGAAGTGGTGAAGAAAGGAAATATGTGTTGATGTTTCATTATTTGGTCTTGATCTAGAGCCTGTCTCTGTTTTCACCAAAGTAATGGCATGTAAGGCAGATGACCTAATGTAAAGTCACCTGATCTTGGAGATGCTTTAATTGCCCCAGCTGCCTTTCCCCAAAAGAAGAATTTGTAGGCATTTTACTATGGTAAAAATATTTCAGTATTATATTCATCAGCCTGATCTCTGATAGTGCAGCTGTTCCCTCTGTTACAAATGAGTTCTTACTAGTCAATTGCTTTATCACATCAGTAAATGCATGCCATTATTCAAAACTGGTGTCCAATTTTAAATTGAGCATTGTGAGATTATTTTGTTCTCAGTAAATCATGGCACACAAGCACAGCACCACTAAGATTAATAATTTTCTGAAGTGAAATGATTTGTCACTTGCTAGCACAGCCTTAGTGTTGACTGAGTCTCTCATGTCCAACCATTTTATGATTAAAAGAGCAGTCAACAGATTGAGGAGGGGGAAGCTCCCCCTAAAGCGCATTTCATCTAATATATTAGAGACAGTTTTTTGCCTAATGTGTACTAATGCAAAAGTGTAAAATAATTCATAATGTACATGAAAAGCAAACTAAAATGTGACTCTAACATCTGTGCCTGTTAAATAATAACTTGAAAACTGGCATCAGATTATTCAGTATTGTTTTTTATGACCATTTCATCTCATTTCTCTTACCAGTCTTGTGTCTATGACCATCTCTGGTAGCAGCCTATAATTTCCACTTCTTTTAATAATGCACATGGAGGCAGGTTTTTTGGCTGTACCTTTGCACTTACCACAGACTAATTAGGAGTTCCCAATGAATTATTTTTCTGGGGATTTGTAGTTTCAAAATCTTTAAAATTCTACTAAAATGAAGTAATCAGTAGGAGACTATCAAAAACAGAAGGCAGTTTTGCTCAGAAGAATACGATTTTGATAGCGTGGGCTTGCACAATGAAGTGCACTTGAAAATATCACTAGATTTTATGCAGATAAAGCTGTGCAATCTTGTTCACCTCATGGCATTTATGATCTTTTTTTTTTTAAACACTTTTTTCCATGAAGTTCTATTCCATGTCTAAAGGCATTTAATGATCTTGTGGAAAATATTTCTCCAGATAACTCTTGCCTGTAGTAATATCCTTGAACATTCGTTAAATTGAGAATTCCCAGGACTGAGTGTAAAGAAAAGCACATGCCTTACAATGCAAATTATAATAAAGGTGTTAAACATCCTTGGTGATCAGGCCATACATTGTCAAGCTATTCTTTAAAATGAAAAAAGCTCTTCAGAATATTTGAAGACCTTTTTTTCATAGAACAGACTTCTAATGAATATTCTTTGTACTTTTTTTTTTCAGTCATAGAAAAACCTTAACATTTGAGTCGTGTTAAGTATAACACCAGTACATAACTAGTCTCTTTAAATCAGTGTAATGGCTTCAAGAAGAATTTAATGGTAGATTTAAGTAAGTAGCAGAATGCATCAAATACGTTTTACTGTGGGAGACTTTCCCCCAGCCTCGAAACGTGAATGGTATTAAGCCAAAAGCTAAGGAATCCCAGCTTTTCGTACATTTCATTTGATAGTTTGGATCGCTAACATAAATAGCAATTGCTAATACAAACTGAAGCAGTGCTGTGAAAGGTTTTTTGTTGTTGTTATTATGGGTGCGGTACAACCTCGTTACAAAAATCATGACAGTGTTTTTTCCGTGCTCTCAGCAGCAGACCTGGGTGTTGCAGAGGTGATGTTTGTGTAGCATTAGTGTGCTAGCTCCTTGCTGCCGTATTTTCAGTGGCTGGCTGTTAAGACATTTATTGGCTAAATCTACAAATAGCTTTTAAAGTTAATTTGCATTCTGCTTACAGTCAGCTTCACAGAGTTTGCCTTATGAGGATGAGAGACTGTAAGCAACAGTAGTCAAACCAAAATGCTGAACCAAGTGTGGATTTCAACACAGATATCAAGAAGACAATGTTTTTAGTATATTTAGTAACTCCAACTATTTGGGGAAGTATTACAGCCTGTGTCAGTCTGGAGGTCAGATCAGATGATCACAATGTTTTTCTCTGACCTTATAATACAGGAATCTATATACAGCATATCAGTTTGTTAGTAATTTTAGATGCCTATCTATAGACTTGAGAAAGACAATGAGAGTTCAGACTTTTGCTGTGAATTGATTGACAGAAACCGACAAGACAGTCTAAGTAAATGCGAAAAATGAGACTGATCTCTAACAACTTAGCTCAAGGGTGGAGCACACCTACTTCAGATCACAGGCAGGCTTGATGTCATTATACTGCGATGAAAGGCTCCTTTTGATTTCAGTGGAATGTGGCTGAAGCTTGTAAGATGTAAACCCTAATAAACACTTCAACATCATGTGATTAGAAGATGTAGATAACTAACAAAGTCTATATTAATAAACTGAGAAAGCTTGTTTACCCAGCAGATAAGACAAAAAACTGTTTTTCTGGAGGGTGACATAGAGTCATAAGATCAGATGCTTATTGCACTATCAAATATACTTTTGTAGTTCGATTTTTCTACTCTCGGATAATTTCTGCTTCATAGCACAGCTATTTTCAGAGCTTGAAAAGTTTACGTAACCTGTCATGACACAGACAGGGTTTTACAGAGGCATTATATTCTCCCAAAGCTATGCTGGAAAAAAGACCCACATAAGAAAAATTAAATAGTAAAAGTTTGTGGAGATATATAGTTGACCATAGAAATAATGATATGATAGCAGCAATAAATTGTGTTCCTGAACAGATATGAAAGCATAGAGGTTTTCTGTTGTACAATCTGTTAGAAATAATGAGAAACGAGAAAAAAGGATTGCTGGAGAATTTTGTAGTCAAATTTTTTCTGGATGAGTAGCCTGCCCTTGGAAGTTAACAGGTTTATTCTGTTGTCTTCACAGACATGTCAGCCACTCCAGCAATTATTCACTGTTGAAAGTGAATAGCAGTATAAACACTTTGGATATAGTTATTACCTCTACTTCCCCTTAATTTCTAAGAAACAAATTGCTTTGTAAGATAAAAGCTCGACTTCATAAAGCATTAATAATTGTTTGAAATCTGCAGGTGGTTAAGATGTTGCTGAAATAAGATCTAATTGGGCTAATAATTGTCAAAGTTCTATGTCATCAGTGACTTCAATTACAGAAACTTCAGAGTCAGTATAAAGTAAGATGGCACATTGAAGCTCTACTGCAGTAGGACACTGGCATGGCAAACAAGCTGGAAAACTTAGCTGGTCTGAGCAGCTTGTATTTAACAGTTGACTTGTGAAAGAGACACAAAATCAAACTCTTGATGCCAAGAGACTGAAAGAGCTAAAGTATGGTATTTCTTCTGTGTGTAAGGAGATGAATGTAAAGAATAGCTACAGATTGAAAGACTTAGAATATCAAAAATACACATCAGGGTTAGACAAATCTGTCTATGTTTCAAACTCAAGAAAATAAAATAACTGTCTTAGAGACTGAAATCTCAGCAATAAACCTATGGATTTCCTTTTCTAGGATATCAGTTAATACTTTCAGATGCACAGGAGATGGATAGATGAACAATTTTCAAGAGGAGTAGAAGACCTGCTGTGGTTCAAAGTGAACAGAAAGAAAAATGAGAAAGGTTATTCACCCTCACCATCTTGTCATAGCTTATATTTTGTTTCTGAGCAAAACCAAAAATGGATGGCTAAGCCCAAATAATATGGAATTGATATTTTTCTCTAAAGGTCTACAGAACACAACCAGGAACTTTAAATCAGCGGTTGGAAAATGAATCTTAAAATCTTTGATTATCTAATATTAGTAAGAAATGTTTTGATGGCAGACTGTTTTTTTTTCTTAATGAACAATCTTTTTATACTAAATTGTAACCTATAAGTCCAATATTGATATAGTTGATAAAATATATTTAACCTCTAGTACAAATTGGATTTTAAGTTGTAAAGGAATGAACACATTTTAAGAACTTTGGCTTTGTGAGGTTGTTGGTTCAGGTCCAAAATAATAACTTCGAATGACAAATCACATTGTTCCTTATTATATCTTTGTCCTCTCTAGAGATTTCAAAAACATGCTACAGAAGCACTATGAAGGCTTTTTAATACGAAAAAGATTTTGATTTTCTTTATTTGAGCAAGTGGTGAGAAAATGGCTCACATAAGATGTTCTCAAACTGCTGCTTTACCTCTCAGCAAACTAATGTTTGATATTACTCATTCACTTAGAGGCCTGCAGCTTTTCAGTAAGATTAAAGATTTGCAGAAATTTATTTATTTTTACTGTACATCTATGATTGCT